GACTCAGGGAGCGCCAGCGTGTCCCGGGTCCGGTTCTAGGCACTGGCGAAATCACCAGGGAAGAGAACAGACGCGGTCGCTGCTGTCATGCCGCTGACGTTCTGGTGGTAGACACGGAGCATAAGCCAGAAAGTGAGGAAAACACAGAGCTGTGGACAGTGAAAGTGCCAAGCAGACAAAGCAGGTGGGGACGCAGGACACTGGTGAGAGTTTGCAGCCCTGAGTCAACAGATGCCTGTTCAGTGGTGTAGGTACAAAATACTGCGTAGCCCCTAAAAATGCTATTTTGGGAGGGTGTTTAATGACATAAAAATGCTCATGATGCACTGTTAAGTGGCAAAAGTCAGAATGCAAACATATATACATGTGCAGAGCGTCAACTCTCCACACAGCTAATCCACAGCTATCAGTTTTGTGAGGGAAACTGGCGTCCATGCACTGGATTTGTACATAGAAAAAACGCTGGAAGGAAATGTCTCGATGAGCTGGCAGCTGCGCGTTCTGGGAGGTGGCCCCTGAGTAACGTGTGTTTTCTTCTTTACTTTCTGCGTTCCCCAGATGTTCTGCAATGAGTGAGTATTTCTGCCAGAGCCAGGGCCAGGGCTATGCAAGTGCGAGGTCAAATCCTGACCTTGTTTAAGATTTTGGTGGATTTTTTATATTAATTTTTTTTTTTTAAGATGACCCGTAAGGGGATCTTAACCCTTGACTTGGTGTTGTCCAGCCAGGGGCTGGCCCTATATTAATTTTTTTTTTTCCTTTTTGTCTTTTTTCGTGACCGGCAACGGGATCGCACCCCTCGGTGTTGTCCCCGCGCCTCGCTCAGCCAGTGAGCGGCCGGTCTGTATGTGGAATCCGACCCCTCGGCGGGAGCGCCGCCGCACTCCCAAGCGGCGAACTGTAGCAGTGTGCCACCGGGCCGGCCCCCCCTATATTAATTTTTAAAGAGACTTTATTTTTTAGAACAATTTTAGATTTACAGAGAACTTGAGAAGACACGGCGGGAGCGCCGCCGCACTCCCAAGCGGCGAACTGTAGCAGTGCGCCACCGGGCCGGCCCCCCCATATTAATTTTTAAAGAGACTTTATTTTTTAGAACAATTTTAGATTTACAGAGAACTTGAGAAGACGGTGCAGACTGTTTCCACAGCCCCGCACCCAGCTTCCCCTGTTGTTAATTTCTGAACTGAGCACGGTACACTCGTTAAAATCAGGGAACTGATACCTACACATTATTATTTACAAATGCCCACTGTATTAGTCCGTTTCTACATGGAACTGGGTGATTTATAAAGAAAACAAAATTTATTGCTTATGGTTTCTGAGGCTGGGAAGTCCAAAGTCCATCTGGTGGTGGTGACTGTGACCCAGGGGTCTCACATTGCAAGATGGTGGAAGCAGAGAGAGAGAAAGACAGACTCTCCTCTTCTTTTAAAGCCCCCAGAACCACGCCCCTGACCACCATTATTAATCCATTCACTACTGCACGGTCCTACAATCCAATCCACCTCTTCAAGGCCCTGCCTTTCAATTACCATAATAGGATTTCTCACCCTCTTAACAGTCACAGTGGGGACCGAGTTTCTAATACATAAATCTTGGCGGACACAATTCAAGCTTCAGCAAGTTTTGGGGGAACAGAATTCAATCCACTACACCCATATTCAGATTTCTACATTTGTTTTGATTTTTTAACATATTGCATTAAGACGTTATTTCTATTGATTCTTGAGTTTTTGGCGTCCCCTTTCTCACCGGCCTCACTCTAGTCCAGGGCTGCTTTCTATAATGTACGCATGTAATGGCGATGTAGGGCTGCGTGCCCTCTTCCTCTCCCAGCCAGGGCCACAATGCGTCAAGCAGGTACATTGCCAGCCCCTCCCTGCTGGTGCCTGGTGGGACCATCCAGTTCTCTCATCCAACAAGTGTCTTCTGAGCACCCTCTGCAGGCCCAGCCATGGCAGCACCCACAGTGCAGATGTGTCCAGCCTGGAGGAGCCTGAATGAAAACACATGCAGGCACACCCACTCCGGACACAAGGCCTCAGGTGTCACCTCCCTTCTTGACGGGCCAGGCGTGTCTGGGTGCCCTATACCTGCTGTTGCAGCTGGAGGACAGACGTGGGTGGTGGCTGCACTCCCATCTCTCCGTGGACAGCCTGGCCCGTGGGACACAGACTCTGAGATCCTAAGGCCTCCTTGACATGTCCCTGGGGAAGGCCGGTGGCACGGACCCAACACGGCCAACCTGAGCTCCCTACACCTGCTCCTCTGCAGCCTGTCATTGAGTCTTGTCAGCAACTCTGGCAAAACCTTCCCCGAATCTCACCGCTTCTCAGCATCCCCACCGTGCCCTCTCCCTGGCCAGGTCCAGGCCTCATTCGTCTCTCACTCACTCAGTGCCTCCCGCTTTCCTCTGCTCCCCAGCCCATCCCCACAGAGCAACCACAACCCAGAGCCTGACCCTCCCTAGATCATCTCACGACCCCCCCTTCCTCTCAACTCCAGACACACCGGCCTCCTTCCTGTGCTGGGCACGGAGCTTGCTCCCACCTCAGGGTCTTTGCACTGGCTGTTCCCTCTGCCTGGACACCGTTCCTCACATCTTCTCACCATTGCTTCCTTCTTGTAATTTGGGCCTCAGCTCACATGTCACCTCCTCAGAGAGGCCTGTCTTGACCACCCCAGCTACCCCCATTGACAATTTCCCTGCCCCCAACCAGACAGTCTCAATCTGTCATCCTCACGTGTATTTTTCAGAGCACTTACCACTACTTTAAACTATCTTGTTTACTCGTTTCTTTCCTTGTTTACGGTCTGTCTCTGCTCACTGGAATGTCAACTCCTTGTTCCATGCTGTGTCACTAGGCTTAGCACAGTGCCTGGCACACAGTAAGTGTTCAGTAAATAGCTGCTGACTGACTGCATGGAGAGGGAACAGTGAGTGGGACGGCAACCTGGGGAGAGGGCATTGCAGGGACAAAGGCTCACGGGTGGGCCAAGGTGTGAGCTTTACCTTGTGCGGTGATATTTCACCAGGGAGGGGCCAGTCTCTCCCCTTTGTGGGAATCCCCGTGTCTGAGAGGGTCTGAGGCTCCTGAGCAATGTTAACGTTAGAATTCAGCTCATAGGGCCAGCCTGTGGCTCACTTGGGAGAGTGTGGTGCTGATAACACCAAGGCCATGGGTTCAGATCCCATATAGGGATGGCTGGTTAGCTCACTTGGGAGAGCGTGGTGCTGACACCAAGTCAAGGGTTAAGATCCCCTTATCGGTCATCTTTAAAAAAAAAAAGAAAGAAAAAAAGCAGCTAATGAGCATTCCTGGGTTGAGATGACAGGGAAATACAATAAAGAAAAAAGGGATTATATTAGATATTTAACATTCATAGATCCACACAGGACCTTGTAATCTAGAAGACACTGCCACATTCGGTGTAGGCCACAAATGTGCCCATTTAACAGATGAGAAAACTAAGGCCAAGGCCACAGAGCATCAGAAGCAGACAGAGTGGTCTAGAGCCCCGGGCCCAGGGCATCTTCCATGAATCCACATTCAGGGAAGGTGGCCCACGGGCCCTAATTTTCTCATTAGGTTGGGGGAATTGTTTTGTTTTGTGTTGTGTTGAGTGAAAGTTTTCCTGAGTCAGCCACCTGCTTCCATCTGTCCCTGGAGTTGCTGACCTTGCCCAGGCTGCGGGGGCAGGAAGGAAGAGGCTCAGCCGGCAGTGGACAGGCAAAAGGTCACGGCCTGTGAGGGTGGGGACTCAGGCCTGGGGCTGAGGGAGTAAATCCAGCTCCTCTTGGCAAAATTTTCCCACCTGCGTTGATGTCCTGGCATGGGCCTGTCTGAGCCTTTGTTGTTCTATATCCAATTTTTTTTCTCAGCTATGTCTGCTAGGACTGAACTGACATTGGAGCCTGCTCCAAGACTGACAGGGAGATGTCCCCTCTGGCTCAGTCCAGAGACAAAGTGGGAGGTGGAGTGGGGGTAAAAACTGGTGGGCTAGGCTCCCCCCACCCCGGCCAGCTGAACCAAAGACCCCAGGCTTCCGAGTCCTGGCTGACCTCTGCCTCTGCCCTGCTGTGTGGTTCCGGCCCAATCACTTCCCCTCTCTGGGCCCCCACGTTGTCATCTGTAAAACAGTGTTTGGTGATGTCCACCTTGGAGGGTTACATGAGAATCAGGAGTGGAGGAAGGAACCCCAACCTTCGTGCTGTGCCCCGTCCCCAGGCCTGGCCCGTTCCCCACTCAGTCGCTCGGTTGCTCACTGCAGTGACTCCCTGTCCCCGCCTTGGCTATCTCAGTTCCTCTTGGCACACCTGTGGGGTACCAGGGCCTCGGGGCGTGGAAGATGAGTCCCTGTGAGCCGAGCAGGCCAGGCCAGAGCCTGAGAACCAGCCTCATCCCAACCCAAAGGTCTTCCTTATTTGTCCCCCAGTGCCTGAAATCCCCCCACTGAACGGTCACCCCTGCACTCAAACTGTAAGGGCTGTTTAAATGCAAATGACCCTAGGTGACCACTAGTGCTGAGCTCAGCTGGGGTTCCCCAAGCTTCCTGGGGACCTCCGACCTTCAACCCAAGGCACAGTGCATGGTGTGCAAATGCTGTGGGACCCCATGCTCAGGGCACAGCTCAGGAACTGAGGCCCCCATTCCTACTCCCCAAGACCCCATAGTCTGCTGGGGGTCTGGGTGGCAGAGCCTGAGAGTCCAGCTCCAGCTGTCTCAAACCCTCAACCTGAAACCTCTCCCGGGTCCCCAGCTGTCCCACTCTGGGAGGCTGTGACCCTCCTGTGTCCCGTGGAATCAGACAGCTGGTTCTAACTCGGCCCTGTGACCTTGGGCAGGTCCCCATCCCAGCCCCAGCCCTCCTCTGTGAATGGGCACAGGAGCTGGTGCAGATGAAGCCCACCTGGGGCCCAGTGTGCTACGGGCTCTCAGCAGGTGACAGTTGTCCCTTCTCAGTTGACTGAGTGGCCATGTCTCTCCTGCCCACAGATCCTGAACATGGAAGATGATCAGAACTGGTACAAGGCTGAGCTCCGGGGTGCCGAGGGGTTTGTCCCCAAGAACTACATCCGCGTCAAGCCCCACCCGTGAGTGGCCGCCACCCCCCACCCCCAGCCCCCTGCAGCTGTACGTCCCCACCTGGCCTGGCCCAGGCTGAGTTAAGCTGCCTGTGGAGGCCTGGATATGGCATTTCCCTCGGGTGCAGCACGACCTTGGGGGAGCTGGATGTTGGCTGAGCAGAGTCTGGGACCAGGGTGGAGCGGGAGTCGTATCTGGGGCCCAGGTGTCCTGGGTCCTGCTAGTCCAGGGTGTCCCAGGTCAGACTCTCAGCAGGTGGCATCCAACACTGCTGCCCTGAGAATGGCTGGGGCAGACCGCAGCCCCAGAACAGGTCTAGGTGGCCAAGAAGTCTTTGCTGACTGGGGCAGCCTCAAGATGCAAACGCTTACTCAGTCACTCAGCAAACACTGGCCACGGTTCTAGGAGGCCCAGTCTGGGTGGTGCTGGAGACACAGAGGGCTCAGAGCAGCCTGTTCTGCGGGAGAGACAGGACGCAAACACAATATTACATGGGAAGGCAGTCAGTGCTGAGGTGACTAACCTGTGAAGGCTTCTCAGAAGAGGTGGCAACGCGTGAGGTTTTAAAGGATGTGCAGAAAAAGAGAAAGGGTCGGGAGGGGCCTCAGGGAGAGCTGGGGTGTGCGGGACTGGCAGGGGCCTCAGGTGCCAGGCCCAGGCTTGTGGGGAGCCATGGGGTGTTAGCGGAGGGGAGGGCCTCAGTCAGATGTGGGGGCAGGCGACAGGGTCAGCAGGCAGGTCGGGAGCTGTGATGGGTATGTGGCTGTGGGTGGCAGGGGAAGGAGGTTCAGGGCCAGGGAGGGGCCTGAGGAGTGTTTCCTCTTTACCTCTCTTCAAGTTGTTTCCATGGCTGCCACCACCCCCGGCTTCCTGTGCTGGGCACAGCCCCGTCCCACCTAGGTCCCCAGCCACTCTATCTGGGCTGCAGTCACTCCCAGCCAGCTGGAGGACATGAGCAGGAGCGTCGCCGTGGGCTGGCTCGTCGGGGGGCCTTCGGGTCGAGGAAATGGCCTGGCAAAGGCTGGAATGCCTGAAGCTACTGAGGAGCCCTGAGCAGAGGGTTCCATTTGCTCAGGCGGGGAGAGGAGATGACGATGGCCGTGGTGCTGGCCCAGGACTGCATGGGGTGGTGCCCATGGATGAGGCAAGACTCCACCAGGAGGGCTGGCCGTTAGCTCAGTTGGTCAGAGCGTGGTGCTGACAACATCCAGGTCCGGGGTTCAATCCCTGTACCTGCCAGCTGCCAAAAAAAAAACAAAAATAGACTCCACAGGGCCGGCCCATGGCTCACTCGCGAGAGTGCGGTGCTGATAACACCAAGGCCACGGGTTCGGATCCCTATATAGGGATGGCTGGTTTGCTCACTTGGGAGAGCGTGCTGCTGACAACACCAAGTCAAGGGTTAAGATTGCCTTACCGGTCATCTTTTTAAAAAGAAAAAGAAGGGCCGGCCCGGTGGCGCACTGGAGAGTGCACCGCTTGAGAGCGCAGCGGCGCTCCCGCTGAGGGTTCAGATCCCACGTGGAGACCAGTTCCCGCTCACTGGCTGAGCGCGGTGCGGGCGCAGAAGGGCCGGCCCGGTGGCGCACTGGAGAGTGCACCGCTTGGGAGCGCAGCGGCCCTCCCGCTGAGGGTTCAGATCCCACGTGGAGACCGGTTCCCGCTCACTGGCTGAGCGCGGTGCGGGCGCAACACCGAGGGTTGCGATCCCGTTACCGGTCAGTAAAAAAGACAAAAAGGAAAAAAAAAAAAGAAAAAAAAAAGACTCCACCAGGGTAGTTGGGAGCTTTGGGGGGGTCCAGCCTCTGATACCCCAGGGTCAGCTCTGGCCATTTGTGTGTGGGACAGTGCAGGGATGGGGTCAGGCCCCTGCCCAACCTGCCTGCAGCCGTGCCCAGGTGTGTTCTTGGCTAACCTCAGCACCTGCACTGGTCCCTAAATAGCTGTGGGGAAACTCCACATTCGCACCTGACTCAGCCCATAAAAGTCCCAGGGTGTGTGTGTGGGGGGGGGCTAGGCCCCAGAAGGCCTCGTGCCTGCACCAGGCCCAGTCTTCCCTGAGCACCCCCTGTCACCCCCTGCCTGCCCCGGGAGCCCTTGAGAGAGGCATGATGCAGACCCGGGCAGACCATAGAGGCACCTGATGCCACTACGTGTCCGGTGGGCACGGGGAGGGCTTCCTAGAAGAAGGGCATGGCCCACTGGGCCTGGAAGCTTGAGGACAAGTTTGCTGCAGGCGGGGAGACAGGCCCATGGGAGGCACGTGTGGGTCTATGAGATGACTAATAGCGTCAGAAAAGGAGACAGAGACACAGAGAGGTTGGGGGACTTGTCCAGGGTCACACAGCTGGTGGAGGGCCCTGTGCTGTGCGGGCCGGGCAGGGCGGTGTGGCGCCCGTGAGAGCAGCTATGGGGCTGGGGCGAGTCGGAGGCCTTGCACTAGCTGTGCAGACTGGGGATGGTGGTGTTCCCTTCCATCAGTCACACGGGGACTCTGTGAGGTGCCACTAGTGGGGCGACGCTGGCGTGGTGGCGGGCGCTGGGCTCGGCACCAGGGAGTGCTCTCTTCTCCTGGTCCCCATCTTTTAAGCTGCCCTCGGTAGGCACAGGGCTGGCAGCGGATGTGGGGGCCGCCTTATAGGGTGTGATTGTGACAGCGACCCGCACGCTGACGCCTCCTGTGGGGTTTTGTGGGTTCTTTGGAGATACCCGGCCTCTCGGGATACTTCCCCCAAGGCACCCCTGGGTCCTGTGTCGACAGGACAGAGTTGGGGGCTTCCTGGGGTAGGAACAGGCGGCAACCCCCCTTCCCTGGTCACTCCTTCCCTGGGCCCCCCACGCTCCGTTTCTGCTGAGGCCAGCAGCATTAGCCTCAGTTGGAGCCTCTAGGTCTCCAGCTCTGGAGACCAGGCCGAGCTTTGCAGGTGGCTGCCTGAGCCCCCTGCTCAGCAACTGCCTCCACCCCTCCTCCGCCCTCCCGGGGGAAAGTCACTGTGATGTGGGCCACAGGTCCCCACCAGGGCCTAGAACCTCATGTTTGGGGGTGTGGCTCCCCCAGATGCAGTCCCTGAGAAACAGATGTGAGGACAAGGAATTGATTTAGGAGAAGGCAGCAGACAGGGAAGGGAAGCAGCCACTAGGGATGGTGGCAACGTCATTGCCACTGGGGCAGCTGGATCTGCAGGAGCCAGGGAGGCAGCATAGGACCAGCACCTGAGTTGCCCCACCTGAGAGGCAGGGGCCAGATGTCTACCCACGTGCTCCCACTGTCCTCACTTGAGAATATTCCCATGGCCTCGGCCTGCCCTGCACACAGGCCAAGTATGTTAGGCCCCAGTAAAAAGCCTTGGGGTGGAATCCCCAGGTGTGTGCTCAGCAGCCTTGGTCTTTCAGAGAGCAGGGATGTGGGCAGGACACCAGCAGCGTCTGCGTGTCACCACCGCCCTCTGATCTCAGCTTCAAGGGCTTGTCAACATCCTGAGACCACAGGAAAAGTCCCACCCGACACCCGCCACCTATGCCAAGCTGAGTGAGACTCAGGAAGCGTTTACTGAAGGAGTGAAGGAACCATCACAGGGAAACCGAGGCGGGAGGGGCCGGCAGCTCTCTGGGGTCTCTTTTGTAAGGGCATTAATCCCATTCGTGAGGGTCCTCATCACTTCCCAAAGGCCCACCCCTGAGTCTGATCGTGCTGGGGATTAGGTTTCCATACGTGAACGTGGAGGGACACGCGCGGTCAGTCTGCAGCAGGGGGTAGGCACCAAGAGGCCGGGGCCGCCTGGAGCCGCACGGCAGGACGGGCAGGACTGGGACAGAGGCCGCAGCGCAGCCTTTCAGCCCCAGACCCTGGCGAGCTTGCACAAGTCCAAGCATTTACCAGGCGCCTTCTGTATGCCCTGTTCTGTTTGGTCAGCAGGAAGAGGAAGCTGGACCTGCAAAAGCGTCCGGGAGGCCCGAGTGTGTGTCTGTGGGATGGCTACAGGCCGGGATGTTTCATCAGATTGAAGCCACTGTTACTTTTGTCATCCGTTTTTATATTTTTTGACTTTTAAGAATCTCCCATCTGAACAGAAAAGTTAGGTTGAGGTCGGCTGGATGTGGCCCGCTGGAGTATGACTTTTCTGTTTGCCCAGTGTGGTAGGACAGGCTGGGCTCAGGAGCCCACATGCTGGGGTCGTGTCCCGGTTCCTGCCTGCCTCAGCCGTGTGACCTTGGGCGCATCGCTTTGCCTCTCTGTGCCTCAGTCTCCCCACTTGTAAAATGGGTGCCCTCACCTCTCCCACATCTTGGGAATGCTGAGGACCAGCGATGTTGAGCACCCGGCACGTGCTGCTGGGGGAGGCCCGAGAGGGGGTGTCCATGCTGCCCTCACTGCCCCCTCTCTCCGCAGGTGGTACTCGGGCAGGATCTCCCGGCAGCTGGCCGAAGAGACTCTGATGAAGCGAAACCAGCTGGGAGCCTTCCTGATCCGGGAGAGCGAGAGCTCCCCAGGGGAGTTCTCTGTCTCCGTGAAGTGAGATCCGGTCCTTGGGGGTGTGCAGAGGAGGGTGGGCAGGGAGGTGGCCTCTGAGCTGAACCTTGAAGCCCACGACAGGGGGGAGGGATGGTGTCCCTGTAGGAGGAGTCACCTGAGCAGTGGCCTGGGTGTGGCCCAGAGCAGCAGAGTTGTGCTGGGAAAGTGGGCTCTGGACCTCTGCGACAGGGGGGAGGGATGGTGTCCCTGTAGGAGGAGTCACCTGAGGAGTGGCCTGGGTGTGGCCCAGAGCAGCAGAGTTGTGCTGGGAAAGTGGGCTCTGGACCTCTGAGCAGGGCCTCGAATGCCAGGCTGAAGGGTCCAGACTTTATCTCATGAGCAGGAAGCAGCCATCAAAGATTCCTCACCAGGGTAGGAAGGATGATGTCGCCGGTTGATGTGGCAGAGAGTGGAAGCGGGAGAGTGCTGAGGAGTACAGGGCAGGTGTCCGGGATGTGGCCCGAACAGGCTCCCGCTCGGGGGTGATGTAGTTGAGAGAATAGACTCTGAGGCCTGCCTCCTCCTGGCTCTGCCTCTGCCTCCTCCTGGCTGTGTACCTTGGGCAAGTCACTTAACCTCTCTGTGCCCGTTTCCTCACATGGAAAATAGGTTATTGTAAGGAGTAATGAGTCAATATATTTAGTGCAATTAGAATAGTGCGTGGAGGGCCGGCCTGTGGCTCACTTGGGAGAGCGTGGTGCTGACAACACCAAGTCAAGGGTGGAGTTCTCTGTCTCCGTGAAGTGAGATCCGGTCCTTGGGGGTGTGCAGAGGAGGGTGGGCAGGGAGGTGGCCTCTGAGCTGAACCTTGAAGCCCAGGACAGGGGGGAGGGATGGTGTCCCTGTAGGAGGAGTCACCTGAGCAGTGGCCTGGGTGTGGCCCAGAGCAGCAGAGTTGTGCTGGGAAAGTGGGCTCTGGACCTCTGAGCAGGGCCTCGAATGCCAGGCTGAAGGGTCCAGACTTTATCTCATGAGCAGGAAGCAGCCATCAAAGATTCCTCAACAGGGTAGGAAGGATGATGTCGCCGGTTGATGTGGCAGAGAGTGGAAGCGGGAGAGTGCTGAGGAGTACAGGGCAGGTGTCCGGGATGTGGCCCGAACAGGCTCCCGCTCGGGGGTGATGTAGTTGAGAGAATAGACTCTGAGGCCTGCCTCCTCCTGGCTCTGCCTCTGCCTCCTCCTGGCTGTGTACCTTGGGCAAGTCACTTAACCTCTCTGTGCCCGTTTCCTCACATGGAAAATAGGTTATTGTAAGGAGTAATGAGTCAATATATTTAGTGCAATTAGAATAGTGAGTGGAGGGCCGGCCCATGGCTCACTCGGGAGAGCGTGGTGCTGACAACACCAAGTCAAGGGTTCAGATCCCCTTACCGGTCATCTTTAAAAAAAAAAAAAAAGGGAATAGTGCCTGGCATCAGGGCAGGGTGGCCATGATGGGGACTGTCTGGTATTGTGACAGGGTGGCTCCTTAGTCATGGTGTGGCAGCTTCTGGGCAGCACAGAACCCTATCCCAAAGGCCACAACTAGGATGATTGAGGAATCCAGGCTGTAAGGTAGTGGCAGGAATGGGGGTGGAGGTGACAGAGTCAGGCCCCTGGAAGTTCTCTGTCCTTCCTACTCCCAATGCCCAGAAGAGTAGGGTCTAGATGCATAAATTTAAGAAATATTTACTGAGCTCTGTGCCATGTGCCAGGTACCCCAGGGGCTAGAGAAATAACACTGGAAAAAAACAAACTTGCTGCCCTTATGGTTTAAGTCTTACTGGGACTGGGTTTACTCACAGCCAGTAGCTCCATGATTTTCCAAAGGATAAACAAACACAGAGCACCTTGATGCTGGGGTTGGGTGTGACCGGGCACAGGGGTCAGGGGGATCCCAAAGAAGCAGAGGAAGAGACTCAGACAGGGACAGTTCATGTTGTCCTCATGCAGCTGGGCCGTCATGGCCCACGCGAGGGCTCCTACTTGCAGAAAAATATCCCTGCTTGACGCCCTCTGGGCTATCAGGGCCCTGCGTGAGCCCCATGGCGTGCAATCCAGTGGGCCATTCTAGGTGTGCTCCCTGCTGTGTGATCAGCTCGTCTGCTGTCTGCCCTGCGAGGTGGCCATCTCCCATCTGGGACTGGAGGCACCCATGAGGGGCAGGACGCCCTGGTCAGGGAGGCTGCTCTGGGGGCAGATTTAATGTCAAGAGGGACCATAGCCCCCCAGCACTCACCCTGACCTCACCACCCCAGCTGTGTAACCAGCTATCAGCTTTGTTCACTGCCCTTCTCCCCTGGGAACAGGCTGGTTATCCTGAGGGGTAGAGATGGCTCTTGCCCTCTCTGGGCCTCTATTTCCCCATCTTAAAAATGGGAGCACTATCTGTGTGAGTGTGTGTGGGTTCTTGGCCCCAACTGCTCCCCCCAGGATGGTCGTGGGCATCTGGAGGCCGGAGTCCCTGCTGGTTCAACCCCCACCACCTGCACAGTCCAGCCCCCACTTCCCACCAGGCTCCCTGCAGTCCCCGGGGAGTCTCTGCTTCCGCAGAGGTAGGAAGTGTGGCTTTTCCTAGTGCTGGCTCTCCAGGGGCCTGGCCATCTCCTGGGAATGGCACCCGCCAGGCGGGCTGGTGTGGCTTGAGTAGCTCCTGGAACCCATGCCAGAGCTCAAGGTGACCCAGCACAGCAGGGGCACAGGAGACTCAAACCATCTGTGGAGCCCGAGCTGAGGAGGTGTTGGCCCTGTCTACCCCCGCCCCTGCCCCCTCTACTACCAAATCCACGGCCTGAACCTCCAACGGGAAGGCCTGGCGCACTGCCCTCTTCTGGTGTCTCTCTGTAAATGCAAACCCCATACACACCCAAGATCAGACCTGACACCTCAGCTCTGGGACTTTGTTCAACGTGAGTTTATTGAGCATTGGCTGTGTGTGACCATGGGGCTGGCAGAGAGGAGTCAGACCCAAGCAGGGATATGGGGAAACGGACTGTGCCTGGCCCAGCGGGTCTCCACGATGAACAAATGAATAAGTGAAATTCAGTGATGGTGGACACATTCCACACGGGGAAGGAACCAGGCGGGAGGTGACATCTGAGCTGGTCCTGAAGCATGAGGAGGCTTCTGGTGCACAAGGAGAGGAGTGGGTATGCCAGACACAGGGAACAGCATGTGCAAAGACCCAGAGGTGGGGCAGTGAGAGGTGTGTTGGACAGCAACAAGTTGTCTGAGCAGGAGGGGAGGTGGTCAGTACTCGGGAGCAGTTCTGGGGCAGGGAGCCAGCACCATCATTTCCTGGGAAGGGATCTGGTAATGTCTCTCTGAGAAATCCTGGCACATGCCCCCCAAGGGCATCCTGGGCATGCATCTCAAGGTCAGAACCAGCAGAGCTTCCTGGGCTCAGCCAGCACCACCAGGTGGCAACCTCCACCCTCCGTTTCTGCCCAGCTGGGCCGGGGCTCCTGGGTCCTGCTCCCACTCTCGCTCCATCCTCTGTCATAGCCCTTAGACCACCACTGGGCAGGGATCAGAATAGGAAACTGAGACTCAAGTGACACATGGCTAGGAGTGTGGGATTATGAACAAGAATCTCAGCTCTGATTACACCAGCTGTATTATCCTGGGCAAGTTACTCTCTGAGCCTCAGTTTCCTTACCTATAAAATGAAGATCTATGCAAAGTGCTTAGTATGATGACTAGCACATAATAAGTGATCAAATAAATACCAGTAATAGTAATTCTCATTGTATGGACCCCCCAAGGGCCACACAATGTGCCGGGGAGTCCCTTCTGGCCTGGAAGGCTGCCCCCCCCCCCCCCCCAGCCCATGAATCCAGGGCTCTCAGAGAAGAGGCAGTGGCACGGGGAGGTCCAGCTCTCATGCTGCTTTGCCCTGGACCTGCTGCATGACCTCAGGCAGCTTCTGGCCTGCTCTTGGCTGTGGTGTGCTCATTTACAACGTGGAGGCAGTTGTGAAGTCCAGTGACCTGATGGCCATCCAGAAATGTGACAGCTTGGCAGATCTGTGTCTGAGAGCTCTTCTGCCCTCGCTGGCTTGGTGCTTGGGAACTCTGACCCCACTGCGCGTGGCATCTCCTGCACGCTCATGCCAAGCCTCGTAAAGCTGTCAGAGGCGGGGTTTATGGGCCTGAGCTACCTCGCAGTGTGATAGTTGCCATAGCCAGCTGCTCTCTACTAGTTTACAAAGGGTTGCCCCCCACCTCCAGGGAGCACGTCTGCGCTGGCGGCCTGTGGGCCAGGGGCCAAGAACAGGCAGTGCCTGATCTGCGTAACTTCTGCCCCACGCTCTATCCCCTGTGGACTCTGCTGCCACAGATGGCAGCTTGTCCTCCAGTGAGGAGTTTGGCTTCCTCTCTGGCCAGAAGTGCCCTGGAGTCAGTGCACATGTGTTTGCTCTGCCTGTATAGTCACTGAGCACCTACTGTGTGCCAGGGCCTGTCCCAGGACCTGCCCCAACGAAGTAGGACAAAGCTCCCTGTCCTTTAGGCACTCACCTTCTACTGGAGAACAGACAATAAACGGTTAGTAAATTATATTACATCGTGGACAGTAATAAAGGCTTTGGAGAAAATGAGGCAGGGAAGAGGTGGGGGTATGATTTTAGGGAGGGAGGCACTGCCTGCATACAAAGACAGGCAGGAAGTGAGGAAACCTGCATGATCCCCAGAAACCCAGTTTGCAGATAAGAAAACTGAAGCTCAGAGAGGTGTAGTAAATTGTCCAAAGTCACACAGCAAGGAACAGCAGAGCTGCTGCCCACTAACGCTCTGGCCCTAACAGACCTGGTCTACCCTTCCACCCACCTTCCCTGAGACCCAAACACCCAGCAGGAGTCAGTCTCCACCTGCTGTGCCCCACCCCCTCCCAAGGTCAGTTTGATGCTATTTCCTGTCTGCTGCTGTACAGGTTATTTCACCCCTCCCTTTTCACAGATGGGCAAACTGAGGCTAGAGAGAGGCCATGCCTAATGGACATCACCCAGTGGGCAGTTAGCACCCACGCCTCTGCCCAGGTGGGTCCACGCGCCCTGGTTGGGGCAGTGGAGGAGTCCCGGGCTCCTGCCCCCAGCCCAGCCTTGTTTTTCCTCCCTGGGCTGCCATTGTCACCTTTGCTGCTGCTGCAACCAGGCCAGAAAAACCCGCTGGGCAGGACTGGCTGCCGCCACATTAGGCCTGACTTGGTCCTTGGGGCTTTTCTGACAGCCCAGCCCTTCATCCCCCTGGGTAGGTGCATGTGGGAGTCACACAGAGAGACAAACACACCCACAACTGCTCAGGGAGAGACACACATAGAGTCACTCCCTCAGAGTGGGGCACATGCAGACATACACACAAGTGCGCGTGTGTGTCTCTCACCCCTCCGCCCCACAGACACTGTCCCCTGTAGGGGACCACCTGAGCTGCTCTCTCTTCACCAACCCCAGGCTCAGATCCCAGCTCCCTGCAGTCACCTTTCCCTCCTCCAGCTCCGGAGGGCTCACCCGGCGGGCGGGCTGTCTGCACTTTATCCAGCTGACTAGGTCCCTCCCGCAATCCCTGAAGCTCCCCTGGACCTGGGGGTGAGGATGGCTGAGGTCTGGAGAAGCCCGAGGCTCTACCTGGGCCTTGAAGGATGGCTAAGGCCAGACCAGGCAGAGGAAAGGGAACGACGTTCCTGGTGAGGGATGAACAGGGGCCCAGGGATGCGGGGTGACAGGCCAGGCTGGAATGAGAGATTGTCCCAGATGCTGAGCGTGGGGTCCTAAGACGGGGACAGCCCTGGCTGGCCTCAGACAGGGGCTGGCCCAGCAGAAGGGGCCCCACCCACACCACGCACAGCAGCAGTGCCCAGCACGCTGCCCGGTGGCTGCTGGCAGGCCCCTCTCTGGGCCTTGCTGTCCTTAGATGTGAGCGGGAAGTGTGGACCAGGTGGGAGAAGGAGCAAGACTTTTACTTTTTACTGAGCACCTGCCATATGCCAGGCACAGGCTAGAGGCTGGCACATGCACGTTTCCCAGATTTGAGAATTCTTGAATTCTCAGGTTGGAAAGTTCTAGAATTCCTGAGTCCTTTGCCCCTTTTTCTTATCTCATCTCCTGTTCTCCACTCCCTGACCCTCCTATATGATCAGAGCTTGCTTTGCTCTGGATAACTTTTCAGGTAACTGAAGATGACACCAAAGTGTTCAAAGTTGTGGTCATTTGGGGTTGAAATCTGTACCCCAGGCTCCTCACTGGGGTCAGCATAGAGCCAGGGCCTCTCCCTCCATCCACTGCCCGGAGCACACACGGCCAAAGTCCAGGAAAGCCCCGAGCTCGCTGAAGCACCCCACGAAGGCGTCACTGCGCTCAGAGGTGGCCTCTCCGAAGCATGTGGGAGGCTGCTGCGGGCCAGACGGGGCGGGAGGCACCTGTCACCTGCCACCTCCTCTCCATTGCAGGCACAGCCGACAATACAAGCGGCTTAGTCACCTGGGAACGATGCTCGCTGACGGCACATGAGCAGCTCTGTCCCAGGTGTGGGGACCATGGCTCCACCTGATCGAGAGCCTCTATTCCCTTGGGGAGAACTGGCTCCCTGGGAGACGAACACATCTTAGAGCACTGGGCCTGCCACCAGATCCCCTGTTTCAGGGTCAGGACACCTAGCGGGCTGGAGTCCCAGTTCAGAGCCAAGAGGAGAGGGTTTCAGGAACATGGCATCCCGCTGACGCTCGGGTCGTGGTGGTCCACTCCCCGAGTCTCAACTAGAGGGGACCCTCAGGGCCTCCTCCCGCCTCCCTGCCTTTCCAGTGTCTCCTGTGCAAGTTATTAGGAGCAGCGGGTTACAAGAAGGCTGTACAAGGGCCGAAGGACCCCAGGAGACCCCTGACTCTGATGTGGTCTGAGGCAGCTCTCCGAGGATGGGCCATTTTGCGGGGGCTTTGAAGCGTGAGGAGCTTGAGAATTGCTTGCAGCGGCAGGACGGAGCGTGTGCAAAGGCCTGGGGGTGTGTTGAGAAGTGGAGACAGAGGCCCTGCGTGCTTTGCATCCCTTGGCTTGGGCGTGGTGGGGGGATCCTGCTTCTCCCTACACCTCATGCACCAGAGGGAAGTAGCCTTTATCTTCAGTCTTTATCTTGAAATGAAGCAGCACGACAGCCCCAGGGCTGAGAGGCGGAGGCAGTGAACTGCAGCCAGGGAAGGGGCAGACAGTGCGACAGGTCTGGGCAGCTGGGGGTGACGGACACCACCCCCTGTTCTGGAGAATTGTAGGCCTGAAGGAACTCAGGCTGCGGGGAACCCCAGCTTGCAAATGAGCTGCATCCAAATTGTTTAAGGAGATTTTAATTTAGAACCCAGGAGGTGTGTTGGGTTTTTTTTTTTTTTTTTACACCATCGGGTCTCTGGACTGGTGGTCGGATCTCATTTAGCCCCAAATGTGAACAAAACTGATGAAGGGGCCTCTCCCTCCCAACGGCCATCCTGGTGCCCGCAACCTGGCCCCGCCTGGCTGGCCACCGGTGCCCAGGCTTTCCTGGCTCTCAGCGCCACCAGAAACCTGAACAGGACACTCTCCCCTGAGCTCCTAAACTGGCTTCTTCCAGGTTGGGAGCTGGGGCTGTTCTGTGTTCTCCCCATGGCCCCCAGCGTGGCCAGGGCAGCTCCGTTGGTGGAGCCTGCACTGTCCCCAGTCCCAGGCCTCTCTACCTTTCTTCATCTGTGAGGAGGGCGCCAGTGCTTTCTGTGTGGCAGGTGAGGACATGGGCTGGGTGCAAGTCCAGGCGGGCTGACTGCAGATGGGAGGGATGTTAAGGTTTGGCCAGGCAGAGAGGACGAGGGAGAGAGGGCTGGTTATATGATGATAGCCAAGCGGAGAGTGAGTTAGAGCCACACTGTACGGATATAAGCTCAGATGTGGCCCCAGCTCCAGCCTTGCTTGCAGTGTGGCTCTTGACAGGTTGAGGCTGCACTCTGGGCCTCAGTTTCCCCACTACACAAAGGGCCCAATTTACTTCTGGGCAGGGAGGGAATCACAACAGTTGTGTCTTCCCACTGTCCCAACTCTTGCCACCATTACCTCCAGTCTCATCCCTGCATGCCCTGATCTAGTGTGGGAGGCGCGGGGCAGGTCTCTCTGCCCAGTCCCAGCCAGGACAGGCTCCACCCCGCTGGCCAGTTTGGGGAGAGCAGGCTATCTGCTCAGCTGGGCTGGAAGGTACCTCGGATGATTTAGTGGTACTGGGTGGGAAGGCTGGGCAGAGGCTAGGAGAAGAGAAAGGGGCCTGCTGACTGCATCAGAGAGGATACGAGGAAGTGAGGTTGGACATGCCATCAGAGCCAGATCTTGAGTCTAAAGGGTAAAGATTTTATCCTGAGGGCAATGGGGAGCCATAGAAGGTTCTTGGGGGAGGGGGGATGTGAAGATGCAACACACCTGAGTTCCTGTCACACCAGCAGGCTCTGGTCTGAGTCAGGATGATCTTCAGACTTGCTCCCCAAGGGACTGCAGGGATGGGAAAGGGGCAGGGGAGGGAGAGAATGTCAGCACTGAGGGGGATGTGGAAGAGATGCTGTCTGATCGCCACTGACTCCGAGTACCCACTTAACGTTGTCCGTAAGCCACAGTAGGCATTTTCCACACACTTATCCATTAGGGAGGTATTATAAAGAAACTGAGGGTCAGAGAACTTCAGTGTCTTGCCTAAGGTCACACAGCAAGAAAGTGTCCTGGTCCAGAGCTCACACCCTTAGCCCCATATTCCACTGCCGGGGAGATTCCCCAGGTCTTATGTGGAGCCAGGTCAGTGGGGTCTCCCCCACATGTACCTGATCCTGACTCCAGGTCTCACCGTGAGAAAAGGCCTGGTTCCAGGTGGTAATGAAACGGGAGCACTGGGACTGTGTCGGGCTGGGAGAGCCATGGTCTGAGGTGGCCATGGGTCCTGTCCTCTAGCTACGGGGACCAGGTGCAGCACTTCAAGGTGCTACGAGAGGCCTCGGGGAAATACTTCCTGTGGGAAGAGAAGTTCAACTCCCTCAACGAGCTGGTTGACTTCTACCGCACCACCACCATTGCCAAGAAGCGGCAGATCTTCCTGCAGGACGAGGAGCCCCTGCTCAAGGTAGGGGACAGGAGGTGGGGGCAGGCGGGGACCAGCCCACGTGAGCCTCTCTGCATCTCCTGCCATCTGCGAGGGGTGCGGGGGAGAGGCTGACACCGATTCCAGGTTCAGGCCCGGCCTCCCTTTCTCGCCCAGCAGCCTGGTGATGCAGGAGGAGGGTCCAGCCCAGGTCTAACGTTCTGTCCTGGTGGTGGCTGCAGTGAGACAAGCAAGGGTGGGAAAGGAGAAGAGGGAAAGAAAAGGAAGGGACAGAATGGAAATTCCATGCGGGCCAACTGCGTCTGTCTTATTCTAAGCTCCTATAATGGTGTGTGGCACACAGTAGGTACTCAATAAATGTTTGTTGAAGGAGCAGACACCTGCTGAACCTACTGAGTACCACATACCAAGCTGGTCTCTGTACTCTTGGAGCCTCACCATTCCCATTACACAGATGAGGAAACTGAGGCTCAGAGAGTGATGTGACTCATCTGAGGCCACATACCCAGCAGCTTCAGTACGGGTTTCTGCTCCCTGAGGAGCTGAGCTGGCCGTGGGCGGGGTGTGGGGCAGTGTGAGTGCTCGTGGGCGAGGTCCTGGCCGGGCACTGGGTGTGGGGGGCAGTCCACCCGCCCCTTGTCCTCACAATAACAGCAATTTGCCATCCAGCCCTTTCATCAAGGGGCCCAGAGGACCAGCTCTCATCCTCATTAGGATGACGACACAGCCAACAGGGTTATTAGCCCTGACATGCTGTTCTCCTAGGAAGGGGGCGTTGGCAAGGCCTGGGGCTAGAGGTCAAGGCTTGGACTTGGGCTCTGCAGAAGGTACAGGGCGTATGGCCAAGGCCAAGGTCTGGGGAGGGGGCTGACTGACCACTGCAGAGAAGGTCCAGTCTTGCCCTGTCCCCTGTCCCACCTTCCAACCACCTTGCCATGTGACCTAAGGGCCAGTTCATCCTTTGCTGGGCCTCAGTTTCCCCTCTGTCCAGATGAGCCCTGGGGTCTGATATGCCAGGAGAGTCAAACAGTGTCTCAGAAGACGCTCACTAGTGCATCCTGTGTTGGCCTCCTCTGCCTGACCCCGAGGGCCGAGGTCAGCTGTGAGCTCCCAATCTCGGGGACTGTCCTTCTCAGCTAGGCCTCTGTCTCCTAGACCTCCATCCCGCGCCTGGGCCAGCTCTGCCCTGGGAAAGTGTGAGGGAGACAGGATGGAGCTGGGGGGCTGACTGAGGGTTCCCCTACACCCACCACCTCATTGTGGCTTGTGCCCTGGGGTCACCCACCCTGTGGGGCAACTCCAGAGCCGGCTCCGTTCCCTGGGACCCAAGACGTCTCCTCTTTCCTGGGCAGAGAACTGCTAATTACAGCCTCTCTGCTGATCCTATCACCCATGCTGGATGAGATTCTGCAGGCTCAGAGCTGAGATCCCAGTGGGGCAGGCAGGGCTAGGACGCTGGGTGTAATAGTCAAGTGCCGAGCAGATGTGTTACAGGGGGCTCCTGTCCAGCTGCCATGATGCACAGGTTGGGAAACTGAGTCCCACCAAGGGCAGGGATGTACTCAAGATCACACACAGGGCATAGATGGGACTGGAACTCAGGCCTGTGAGCTGGCAGAAGCTCCAAGTGACAGTCCTCTCCCTCAACGTCTGACCAAAAGCCAACAGCAGCAAACACAGTTCATAGCTGCACATCACTTTATAGTTTATAACCATTCATGTGGTTCCATGGTCTGAAATCAAAAGTTATGAGGGCTGCTGCAGAGCCAGGAAAATGAGACCCCAAGAGAGGCAGGGACCTAACCAAAGTCCAGCCCTGAGGACCAGGACTAAGGGCCCTGACCCACCAGCTCTATAGTCCCAGCTGGGACACCAGGGAGGTCCGATGTAGATGCAGCATTTGCCTGCACAGGAGGCCCATGGGGTGGAACGACCACCGATCTGGACTTGGAGGCAGCCTCAAAGTCCAGCTCCAATGCTACTCCAAGACTCCTCCCCAGCTGCGGCAAGTCACCTCTCCATCACTTCTCTCGGGGGTCCTCCGCAGGGAGAGTCTGAGGGCGCCCCACTAACCACTTCCTCCCCTCGCAGCCGCCCCGGGCCTGCTTTGCCCAGGCCCAGTTTGACTTCTCGGCCCAGGACCCCTCACAGCTCAGCTTCCGCCGCGGTGACATTATCGAGGTCCTGGAGCGCCCGGACCCCCACTGGTGGCAGGGCCGGTGCTGCGGACGCGTCGGCTTCTTCCCGCGGAGCTACGTGCAGCCCGTGCACCTGTGACCGGTGTGGGGCGTGGCAGGCGGAGCCAGAACTGAGGTCCAGAGGGACGACGTGGGCACCCCACCCGAGGCCACACAGGGCCCAGCGAAGGCCTCGGACTCAATGTGGGCTCCTAACTGCCTCCGGCCACTCCAAACAAAGCGGGATGGTCCCCCAGCGCCCCCAAACCACCGCTGCCTTAAGTGACCACGGGGGGGGGGGGGTGGCTCCCAGGACTTCCTGACTGGCCACTTCCCATTGGCCAGAGCCTGACGTCAGAGGGTGGGGCACGCGGAGCCCCGCCCACTCCTGTCAATGGCATCCTCCTCCTGGAGGGTTGGGGACTCCTAGGTTCCACCCACTGGGGGCTCAAGCCAAGGAACCCTGGGCTCGGTGGGTGCGTTTGCATTGGGCTGACCACACGCCAGGCCTTCCTGCCCCTCCCTCGAAAGGCCTCTGGAATCGTTCCAGATATTGGGAAGGTGGCTCAGCCCCTAAGGACGGGCTGCACACTTGCTGACCTGGATTCTCTGGACAGACTGCAGGTGGACACCAACTTCTCGGCAGCCCCATGACTGCGGGCTCCACCTGGAGCGTCCAGCACGCTGGCCCTTACCACAGGCACATTAGGGAGGGGCCCTTAGAGGCCTTGAGACCCTCAGAAAGGGGCAGGAGGTGGTGAACATGGAGGCAGCGGCTCCTCTCCTGTTGGGCCCACGCACAGACAAGGGGGAAGCCTTGGCCCATCCGTGGGAGACCAGGCTGCACTGGCTCTTGTTTGTTGAGGCTCAGGTTCTGCCCAGGCTAAGGCCCAGGAGGAGACAGAGAAACCTGCAAACCAGCTGGGAAGTTGGGGCCAGAGCCAGGTTTTGGAGATCGAACAGGATCCAGAATGGGGCGGGCAGCATAGGTAGGGGCACAGCTTGAGAAAAGGCAGAATATCCAGAAGGAATGTGCAACCATCAGGAGATGCTAAGCAGCACCTCCCAGAGCCTGGGCACCTTTGGAAGCAGGAAAAGTGAGGTGGGACTTGGGAAGGCCTTAAATGCCAGGCTGATGGTGGAGGGATGGTGAGCAGGGAGGGACAGAGGCTCCCTCTGGCAGCTGGGAGCAGGTGGGGATGGAGAGACATGCCATGGAGGTGGCTGCAGTCTCTTGAGGGGGGCCCCCTGCTGTAGGTATGGGGGGCTCTCCCTCTGTCCAGGGCTGGCCCAAGACCCGTAGAGCCCTGAGCCCTGGCAAATTACGCTGCTCCTGACCTATGCCTGTGTATTCAAAATAAAAACGACAAAACCAATATAAGGATGTCCATCAGAAATTTAATTTTCTATCCAGTTATGACTACTTTGGTGCTATTTTTGAAATATCACACTCTTTTTTCCCATTCCCCCCTAATTTTTCAGGGCTCTTGCTTTACTGGCTCAGCCAGGCCCTGGGCATTGCCTGGGCACTGCCCCGCTGTGTGGCAGTGAGGGGAGTCCGGCCCTCTCTGGGCCTCAGTGTCCTCAGGGAATGGGGGTGGGCCTCAGGACTCAGGGCTCCCGCCTTCCTGCCCAGCATCAGGCGAAGTAGGCGTAGAGGAAGATGTTGACGCACAGGAGGAGGATGGCGTTGAAGCCACAGACACGGGCCCAGAAGGCATGTTTCCGGGGCATTTGGCCGTCACCTGGAGGGGGTTGGAGAGGGACAGGGACACAAGGTCACACTGGTGCCCATGCCTCCAGCCCAGCCTTAGGGTGGGAAGCGACAGTCGTCTACTTACCTGCTTTGGCTCCCAAGGGCAGGTCCCGAGCCAGGGTCCACCAGGTAAGGTTCTCGATCTGCAAGGAACAGGAGGATGGAGTGTCCCAGGATGGAGGTGGACCCAGACAGGGTCAGGGGTCAGTGATAAAAAGATGGCAGCTGAATTCAAAAAGGGACAGGGGTCAGGGCCAGCCAGTGTTAGGGGACAATTCTTAAGTCAGAGAGGGTCAGGGATCAGAATGGGACTAGAGTCAAAATTGTTAGGGGTCAGGGTCAGGGATGACATGCAGGGGTCAGGGGTAAGGGCAGGCTCACCTGAACACCCTGGGGGGGCGGAGTCAGCAGGCTCCCGGCCACCACAACAGCACCACTGAGCATGAAGAGGGCGACGGCAAAGTGCAGATAGTGGATGCTGTGGAGGATGGCGGGCCGCACATCGGAGTGACCACAGGGTGGGGCCGGGTACAGGAATTCCAGGACCAGCCTCGTGGCGCCCAACGCCAGCCCTGCCATCAGGCCCCAGAAGGCCCCCTGGGGAGAAGGGAGGCGGGGCATGTGGGGCTGTGGGAGGAAGACCAGCCACCCCCCCAACACAGCACGGGAGCAGCAGGGGGGGATCTGAGCATGCTGCAGCACATCTGTGGGGACAGGCTGAGGCCTCCCCACTGCACCTGACCCCTGGTCCTGTCCCGTCCCCACCTGCTCATTGGCACGCCGCCAGAAGATGCCCAGGATGAAGACTGCGGTCACTGGGGGTGCCAGGGAGCTGGTCACTGACTGCATGTAAATGAAGAGTTGCCCGCTGTTGGAGCCCTGCAGGACGGGGATCCAGGCCACACTTATGCCGATGAGCACCACGATGACCAGCCTGCGGGCGGCAGTGGGTAGCAGACTTCACCGAGACCCTTCTCCAACCCCCACCTCCCCCAGTCTGTAGGACTTGCTCCCCAGTCTGTCCCGCGTTGCCCCAGCTCCTGCCTACTCCCTGGCCTCTGGTTCACTCCACCGGTGGCCTGGCCAGGCCTGCCCCTGCTCCAAACCCTCCCATGGCTCCCTGTCGCCTGCAGGTACAGCCCCAACTCAGCGTTGGCTATTCCTCCCTCCCCTGGGGTCTACACTGAGTCAGCCGGTAGAGCGCCCCTCCACGGCCACCAACGGTCTCCCATTTGTCTCCCCCCTCAAGGACCCTGTCCTAACCTCTAGTGCACATTTGCATGGTTGTCTGTCTCCCCCTCCCAACCAGAAGCTCCGGGAGGGCAGGGCTTCATCTCTTTCCTTCCCGGCCATGTCCGCCTGCATACAGTGCGTGCTCGCTAAACATCTGGTGACTGTGAATGGCCCGCTGTCAGCTCTCTAGCACATCTGGTCCCAGGCCTTGGCAGGAGCTGGGACCTGTAGCTGGTGCACCCCACCCCTGCAGCCCTTGGCTGTTGACTCGTCTGTCACAGGCAACCTCCGTCCTAAGAGTGAGGTTTGGAGCCAGGCGGCGGTGGCCAGGACTCCCCAGCTACGGATCCTGAGTGCTTCCGGCCAGCCAGTGTGAGCCCCCTTCCCACCCTGCTTCCAAGCCTCCTGTCAGCTCCTGCCTGCCCTCCTCCGTGCTAGGCTGAGAGCCCTCCACAGCCTGGACATACTTTGCTCCTTCCGGCAATAAACCATTGGCAGGAGCCCACCAGAGCGTGGGGCACTGCGCTAGGAGCCCGACTTGGCGATGAACAGGCCCCGGTGCCTGCCCACACTCAGAGTCCAGCACAGAAAAGAGACGAGCCTGTCACCTGTCCTCAGGGCTGGGCCGATTGAGCCCAGAGGAAACATCAATCTAGGAGGGCTTCCAGGAGGAGGGACACCCCCAGAGCCTTGAAGGGGTGTGGGGCCCAGATAAAGGGACAGGGCTGGGGCACGGTGTCTGTCTGCTGCTTGTTAGCTGAGTGCCCCTCATCCGTGTCCTGGGCAGTTGGTGCCCCTCACCCCCAAGGTGGGTGGTGGGTGAGACCCGCTGGAACCCCACCAGGCTGGCAGGGGTGACAGAAGCTGCATGTGCAGCTGGGTGGGTCCTCCGCTGCCCGCCGCCTGCCTCCCTTTCTTCCCTTCAGGCCTGAGGGAGAGGGTGGAGGAAGAAGGTGCTGCCTTGATTAAGGCTAATTAACCCTCAGCCTGGCAGGCGGGCGGGCACTGCCCTCTTCAAAGGCACAGGCGGGCCTCCATTAGCGCTGTCGCACCCCACCCTCCACACACAGGCTTCCACTGCCCAAGACCAGGCCGAGCATCTCTGCGCAGGCTGGGGCCACTGCAGCCGGGCCTGGCTTCTGACCGCCCTCCAGGCTCCTGCTTCCCACTCAGCTGCCCCCAGGCTGCCAGAGGTGCCCCCAAACCCAGAGGCCATTCCTGCTGCCTGGAATGCCCTCCCCCAACTCCCCCTGCAAACCCTCCTCAGCCTCCAAGGAACCTTCACGAGCCCACCCGCTCCTACACTGCCGTCACCATGAATGGTCCCCTTTATCACCTGCAGCCATGGTCACAGGGGAGCTCTTCAAGATGGGGGGTCTGAGATCTCTCTGAGTCCCCCTTATTGCCCAGCTCAATGCAGGGTACTGGGAAGGCCTGGCCCTCTGTGCACTGAGCAGCAGAGAACAGCAGACAGCAGGGACAGCAGGGGAGGGAAATAGAGGGAGAGAAGGGCTGGAGCGCAGGGGCTTGGAGCTAGCAAAGGTCAGGGTCCAGGGGTGAGGTCACCGCTGCTCCTCCCCCTCCCCCAGCCCAGCCTATAACAGCTCCTCTGGCCTCCCCTAACCTGATGAGACCATTGGGGTCACTGGCACACCCCTGCCTGCCCCTGCCTGTCCCTGCCCCATGATAGCCTGCTCCCGAGACGCCTGGCTCTGCTTTGTTGACCCCTCTCTGTAAGTCCCACATCTCCTTGATTGAGGCTGTGGTCGTGCTGCTGCATCCTACCAGAGACCCAAGACCCCATGGGGCCTAGGAAGCCCCGCTTAAATGGGAGTGTTTTAGGCAGGGGGCTGTGATGGCGTCTGAGTGGCTGGAGGTGTTGGAGGGTGTCCCAGTGCTTCAGGAGGGGGGGTGGCAGAGCTGAACCCAGCCTGACACCTGGCACTGTGCCCTTTGTCCTCCACTGAACTGGCAGCTGAAAGAACTGGAGCCCAGAGAGGGTGAGCAAACTGCCCAGCGTCACACAGCCTTGTGCCCTGCCCCACAGGGAGGCTGAACGCCTGGTAGGCAGGGCCTGGGAGGGGCAGGGGCAGAGGGGTAAGAAGTAGGTCAAGGGGAAGGGGGTTGGGAGGGTGAGCAGGCACAGAGGGGACACCAGGGCAGGACTTTGGCTTTGGTGGGAGCAGGCACATTAGCAGGGGACACGAGGGCCACTAGCTGGGTACAGGCCCACCAGTGTCCCAGGCCAAAGGGCCAACACACACACTGTGGTCAGAAAGGAGCAGGGTCCCCCCCAGGCCACACAGCAGCTGAGGAGAGGCAGGGGAACCAGAGCGGGAGAGGTGGCCAAGAGGTCAAATGCCCAGGATGTGCTGACTGGGAAGTGTCCTGGCCGGCAGGAGGTGACAGGCCCTTGTTTTGGAGGAGGCCATGAGCCTGCAGATGAGCTCACACTCGCCCGTGTCTGGCATGTCCCAACAGGGCCCTTCCCACAGAAGCTGGCTGTTTTGCATCACTGGGACAAATGCCTGGAGCTCCTGGGAGACCCCACCCTGAGGATGGGCGTGCTGGACTCCTGGCTGGAGGGTGCACCATTGGCCAAGCTGAGCACCAGACGTCTGGACCCCTCAACCAGCAGGGCGGGGGTCACATGGATCAGAGGTAGAAGGACGGGTGGGAGAGGGCCCAAATAGTGCACAGACACGTGCACACACTCAGAGACACCAACCCTCATCATCCATGGCCGTGTGTACCCCTACAGGGCTCCCGGATACATGGCTGGGACCAGACGTGGATATGGCGACGGAGGGGCCCCTATCCTCACTGAGTGCCCAGCCCCATGGGAGCGGTGTTGGGGAGATCAGTCAGGCCTGTAATTGGCTGCATGTGCTGTGGGAGGAATCTGGCAATTGTTAGGGGCCCCTATCCTCACTGAGTGCCCAGCCCCATGGGAGCGGTGTTGGGGAGATCAGTCAGACCTGTAATTGGCTGCATGTGCTGTGGGAGGAATCTGGCAATTGTCCCCCAGGGCATAGAGGGGAGAGGGGTTGATTCCTTGGTTGGGGGTATTAGGGAGGGCTGCATGGAAGAGGGGACACTTGGGCAGAGTCTAGGAAGACCAGGTGAGTTGCTGAGGTGAATAAGGAGAGGACAAGCAGGGCTAGGAGGGAATGGGCTCAGTGGGGCCAGGGACCTGGGGGCCAGGGCGACAGCTGTGGTCTGAGTGTGGCCAGTCCTGAGTCTGGCTTGGGGCAGCTGAGAATCATCAGGAGAGCTAGGGGCTCAGATTTGGGGGAGAAAGAGAGTCTCTGGGAAGGAAGGAGAAGGGAGGGTTGGGCCTTGAAGAGGGATCCAGCTCGGGGTGAGAGATGCAGCCCCGATGAGGGCTGTGACCATGAAGGGTGGACGGGAGAGCACTGCGGGAGGTGGACAGACAGGACTCTGGTCTCTTCTCTCGCCTCCTTCCTGGCATCCGTGCTCCACCTGGCAAATTCCTATCCATCCCTCCAAGCCTGCCACTGGTGGGGGCACAAAGGCTGGTCACTTGGCTGGAACTACTCAGCCGCTCCCGGGGGTGACAGCTCCACCCACGGTACCGTCCCACCAGCAGCAGCTCCCGCTCGCCAGCACGGGGCCGCAGCCGTCTCCAGATGTCCATGGTGAAGAGCGTGCTGCTGCTGTTAAAGATGGACGTCAGCGACGACATGAGCGCGGCCAGCATCACTGCGATCATCAGCCCTCGCAGACCTGGGGGTCAGGCACGGGGGCTTGCTGTGACCCTGCCCTGGCCCCCGGGAGCCTCTCCTGCCTGTGCCCTGCTGTCTGAGGCCCCCCATCAGCACCATGGGCCTCCTGAGAGAGAGGGCTGCAGGCAGAGGAGCTGAGGGTGTTTGAGGTCAGTGAGACCCCACGACAGGGGCCTGGGGAGGCCGAGGCGAGCTGCAGGGACTTCTGGGTCTGCTGCTTGAGCCTGCGGCTGGCTGGCAGCACCAGTGCGGGCTGTGATCACGTGTGCTGCTGATGCTATTACTCTCGTTTCTGCAGAGCCTGCAGTTGACAAAGCACTTTCACACCCCTGACTTCACTGGAGGGAGGGATTACTAACCCATTTGACAGAGGAGGAAACGGAAGCTCAGAGAAGGGAAGCGAGTTGCCCAGGGACCCACGGCAGGCCAGAGGCAGAACCTCGGGGTGGCAGGGGTGGGGTGGTGAGGAAGGTTGGGGAGGGACCCTCTGCTAGAGGTTACACCCTGGCAGGGCACCCACCCCACCCCAGCCTTGAGTGGCCCAGCCTCTGGAAATTCCTGTCACTTCCTGTGCATGGTGGGCCCCAGCAGTCACGGTGGGTCCCCTCGCTCATTGGCTCTGTGGAAAAAGAGAGATGCAGCTCCCCAGAGAGGGAGGAAAAAAACCCACCCGGCTCTTGCCTGAAAATGAATGCAGGGTCCCTATGGAGGTGGGGGAGGCATTGCCGTGCAAAGCCTTCTGGGAGTCATGGGCTCAGGAGGGCTGTGTGGAGAGCCCAAAGGAGGTGGAAGGATGCTCGACTGCCAACTCAGTGCTGTGCGCCTTCAGGGTGCTCACCTCCCCTCTCTGCGCCTTGGTCTGCGTCTGTCTCCAAGGACTCTTGCGATGTTTCTTTAAGCATTTAAGCACCTCCACCTCTGCAGACTCCCTGCCCATCTGTCCTCTACCCCTGCCCTAGGATAAGCCTAACATGGGGCCCCTTCCTGAGGGCTCAGCCTTAGAGAGCTATTTATTTAGGGCCTGGCTGGGTTGCCTTCCTTTGGTTCTGTGTCTGATTCGCTATGTGACTCCCAGGTAACCCGTGGCCCTCTCTGTTCACTTGTCAGACTGACTGGGATGGGCCAAAGGAAAGTGAGTTAAATCATGGTTTTCCCCAAAACATTTCTCCACCACCCCTGTCTTGCTTGGGCTTATTCCACCCATTTCTCAGACAAGGCCTAGAGAGGGGTTGCGGCCCAAAGATGGCTGGGTGTCAGTGCTGGGGGGCTTCACAAGTCCCCCCACCCCGCCCTCAGCTCAGAGAGGAAGGCAAGGACCAGAGGTGGGAACCACAACAAGGCCGAGTTTTGCACCAGGCAGTTTCCCTGCGTTATTATGTTTAATCCCAGCAACAACGCTGAGGGGTGGGTAGGTGCCATTATCTTCAATTTACAAATGAGGACACCAAGGCACTGAGCAGGGAAGTGACATGTCCCAAATATCTCGGCCAGCAAGTAGCAGAGCCAAAATCTAATCCCTGGTTGGTGCTCTCATGTCCCCTGGGCCTGGGCTCTGCAGGAGAGAGGGAGTGAGGGAGAGACAGAGAAGAGGGAGGAACAGGGGTGGGACTTGAGGGACCAGGAAGCTTCCAAGGAGGGGGGTGAGGGGGGGGGCAGGGAGAACTCGAGCACCTGAGAACCCAGAGAGGACAGGCTCGGCTGCAAAAGGCTCAGAAAGCTGCCTCCTCTTCTGCTTAAGGTGGGACCTCCCACGCCCCTTGTTAAGTTGCTCCTACTTGTACACGTCCTGTGATGGGGAACTCACCACCCGGTATCAGACCGTCAGGGCTGCTGCTGCCACAAGAAACATGAAAAAAGCTGATACATGCCCCATAGTTCTACCTGTCGGCCTGCAATGTCTTGGGGGGGGCAGAAGATGGGAACTTATGCCTGCAGGTATGGGGGAGTCCTGAACTCCCGGTCCTGGCAGAGTAAGCAGTGGACTTGGGCTTATGTTGGTTTGTATGTCAGTCACTCTGTAACCCTGGACTTCCCCTCTCCGTGCCTCAGTTTCCCCATCTGTAAAATGGAGCCAATAATCCTACTTCACAGCGTTCAATGAGAAGTGGTTTGTAAAAGGGCCTGGCACCCAGGATGCATGTGGAAGAGAAAGCGGGTGGCCTTTCTCAGGAGGTGATACAGCACCGGCTAGGAGGACAAGCTCTGCAGGCAGATTAACTGGGTTTCAAGCCCAGCTTTGCAGCGTTCTTACCACATGACCTTAACCAGGGCATTTAACCTCTCTGAGCCTCGATTTTCCCATCTTTAGAATGGGGGTGATACCAAGCACTCCCACCCTGCGCCAGGCACCCGCAGCCGGAGCTGCCTGCATTTTCTCACACACCCAGCCCTGGACGCCTCCGTGCCTCGCAGACGCCTCCCTCCTCCCAATGCGCTCATCCACTTACCACCCCACCCACCCCTGTTTGCCCCCTGCTTCCAGGCCCACTGCAGAGGGCTTGTCCTCTGAGGCGTCCCTCTCCCCTCCTACCCCCCAGGCAGTGGCGGCTTCCTCCCGAGGGCTCCTGGGGCCAAGGATTGAATCACGCTTGCTTGTTTGTTTATATATTCTCCCTTCCCCACCAGACCGGGAGCTCCCCAAGGGCAGACACTGGGTTTGAATCACCTCCAAGTCCTGGGTATCACCCAGCCCAGGGCTGGGCCCAGAGCTGTTCTGTGAAGCTCGCTGAATGAATAAGGGAGTGAGTGGTGGGAGGAGGAAGGAAATGCACAGGAGGAGAAGTGGAGAGGGAGAAAGGACCCCAGAGAGAGTGATGACGGGGTTCAGAAATAGTTAGATCCAGCTGCCCTACCCTATCGCCTCCACCCCGTTCAGTTTTGCAGGACCAGAAAGGACGTAACTTGCCCAGGACAAACGGTCAGACCTGGGACAGAGCCCAGGGGCCCAGGGCAGGATGAGGCCACAAGGGTTCAAGAGTCAGAGGGCAGGTGATGGGCCCCTCTTGATGGACTCTGGGCCTGGACTGGCTGGCTCTGGCCCTTGGAGGGCCCAACCCTCCTGGGAGGGACAGGTGAGGCGTCACAGCCACATAATGGCTCAGAAAGCCGGAGTCAGGAGTTTCTTCCTGAGTTTATACAGCCCATTCCAGGCTCCCAGCATGGGGCACCGCCTCTGGGCACTGCTGGCTCCATCGTATAACTTCGTATAATGTATGCTATACGAAGTTATTACGGCATGTTTCCAGCTGCAACAGGGGACTTGGCATCAGAACTGCTCTCCAATATGCATGAAGGGGAAGGAGATCCGATTAGGGGGCCTTATCACCTAGGAAACACGGGTAGGTTCCTCTTTCTGCACTCCAGCGTGGGATGAGGAGCTCTGCAGGCCCTTTGCAAATGGCCCCGTCTCTGCACCCCTGTCCCCGTCTCACACACCCAGATTCCTGAGGCCTCGTTTGTGGGTGACTGGAGGGTGGAGAGGAGATAGCCTGTGGAGTACGTGGAAGGGGACATTCCTGTGCTGTGGGAGTTGGCTTCTGTCGTCTCATACATTTTCCTGCTGGCCCTCATTTACAAGAAGCATTTATAGCAAATACTTGCCAAGTGTTTTCCATAAACACACAAGTAAGGACATTTTTCACACATTCCAACCTTCCGTAAGTGTTTATTTCCACAGTGCACAGGTTTGAGTGCACAGTTTTCCTAAACAGGCCTTTGGAATGTGGGCTTCAGCCCAGTGAAGATTGACTTCTGAGTTGTCCTTCCATGGCCACATCATCCCTGGGGCACACAGGGCACGTGCATTTGACACATATGGTTTCCCAGTGAGTTTTGCTCTTCAGTGTGGGTTCTCTGTGTGGATACGTGCCCTGAGTGCAGAGTAACTTGGGGTCCTGAGCCCCCTCACGATACAGAGTGAGGTTGGAGGTCCTGGCTTCTGATAGAACCCACAGGTCAAATGGCATAGGGAGTGCAGATCACAGGACTAAGAGGAAGATTGTGACTCACTTAGGATGTAACTGAACATATAGAGATAATAAATTACGGAAAGTCTTGTGTTCTGACCTGGAAAAGTAGGTGTTCACCGTGAAGGACAGAGATGCTGGCTGGGTCTGTTTTCTGTTACTTATGACAGAATACCTGAAACTAAGTAAATTATAAAGAAATGGAATTTATTTCATACTGCTTTAGATGCTGGGAAGTCCAGGATGATCAAGGGGGCATGTCTGCTGAGAGCCTTCTCCTGGTAGGGACTCTACAGAGTCCCAGGTGGTGAGAGCGTGTTCACATGCCAGCTCAGGTCTCCCTCTTCTTATAAAGCCACCAGTTTTGTTCCCAGGATAACCCATTAATCCATTAACTCGTTAACCCATTAATCCGTGACTGATCCAACATGATCCAGTCACCTCTTCCGCCCCTGTCCACACCAGAACCCTGGGAGCTGCTCTCTCCTTGCCCCCATGTCGTCCCTCCCCACAGCCAATGCCAAGTCTCACTTGATTACTGGGGACCGCACCACCTGCTTGCTCCCCTCTAACCCAGTCCCCTACAAACCAGCAGAGGGAGCGTCCAAAACCACCGATCTGCCCACACTCCTCCCTGCTCACAGCCATTCTGCACTCTCCGTCCACTGCAAGGGTATCATGAGGCCCTAACTGTGCTCTCCACCCACTTCTCCACCACCCTCACCCCTGCCAATTTCACCCAGACCGCTGGCACCCCAGGCTCTCTTGGACACCTCTGGGCCTGTGGGTGTGCTGTTCCCTCTCCCTAGAATACCTTTCCACCTTCATAAACTCAGGGAACGAATGCATACTCATTCCTCTCAACTCATCATGGATGTCTGGGCTCCCCAGGCTTTGGGGCAATGGCCTCTATGGCACCAATAACTCTATGGCCTGCATCTGTCTGCCTGTCTACCAGGCTATGACTATGGGGCCTCGGGAGGAGGCCTGGGCCCCAACAGTGCTTGTTGACTGACTATGATTCTCTCCCAAGCAG